AGGAAGTACAGCTTTGACCAGACGGATGGCCCCAAAAAAGTTGGTATCAAAGACGTTCTGCATGGCAGCTAGGCTGAGCCCCTCCAAGGGCCCCACCAGGCCCACTCCAGCATTATTCACTAAGTGGGTAGGGCTGAGGGTTACTCTGAAGTCCCCCAACCCTTCTAGTGTCACTCCCCCAGGGACACTCCCTAAATTATCCCACCCCTCCCCCACTCCAAGTTCAGGGCTAGTCCAAGGTATCTTGGGCAGACAAATGTGTAGCATTGATAATCTTTAAATATAGTTCAGCATTTGTTATAGGGGACTCTGAGCCCTGGGTGGGGAAGAGGGCTGCTGGGAACAGCCTCCACTTTAATGCATGAGCAATTCAGCTCTGACCCCAAATTGCATCAAAACAGCCACACCCTTCTCAGAAGACCGTTTAGGGACCATGAGTTGCTTCTTCATCATGCTCCTTTCCCACAATGACTCATCAAATTAATTTTCCCAACCACATATGGTTTTCTCCATATGTGAGAATTTCTATTTGATAAAATCCACCCTATCCCCAGGTCTCAGTATATTTCTTATATCTCTAATAAACTGAATGGTATCCTGGGCTCTTAGCCAACTGATCTACCCCTTCTCTCCAGGGTCAGAGGTTATTAGGGAAACAAGAGAGTTAGTGCTCAGACACTGGAAAGAACTTGCTGTGATAAGGATCTATGCTTAGGCCAGGGAGGGGGCGAGTGACCCCAGGGGATGCTCAGACTCACCCAACACGTCCACTTCCCCTCCCTGGATGCAGCTGAGACACTGGGCCACTGACTCATCACTGCACACGTCCAGCTGGGCCACGGTGAGGGTCTGACCCAGAGCCTCCCCAGCAGCTGCCTCCAGTGTCCCCTTCTTTCCCAGGTCCCTCATGGTGGCCACCACTGGGGACAGAGAACAGAGTTGGAGCAGGCACTAGGTTCCTTTACCCTGTGTGTGGACTTACATGTTCCTGTGATATTTTGCATGAGTAGTCACAGAGGAATGGAGACCCACAGATTTATACACCTACATTTTCCATACAACCACAAATGCATACTTGGGTACAGATATTTGTATATACTTCCATCCATCCATCCACTCATCTAGCAAACATTAATTGAGCATCTATTACACCCTATGCGCTATTCTAGGTGCTGAGGCTATTGCATGAAATAAGATAAAGTCCCTGCCTTCACAGAATTCAAAACCAGTAGGTAAGACAATAAAATAAATACAGAACAGATGGCTTGAGAAAAGAAATGCATGCACACCTAAAGTCAACATATGTGCAAATATGCACATGCAAGTATGAGTAGCCCCATTTACATCATCAACGTAGGTTCCAATTTATTGAACACCAGATAATATGCTAAACACATTTATAAACACTAACTCTAATCCTTACAAGAATCCTATGATTAGGTCACTGACTTATTTTCCAAAGATGGCCTCAACATCTTTTATCACACATGCTGTTCTAGAACCTAGCTGCTCACCCATCAGCCCATGAAATCTGATTCCTCTCCCCTTGAATCTTGTGGCTAGCTGGGAATCAATAGACGATGGTAAAGGTAACCCTGTGTGGCTTTTGAGATTAGGATGGAAAAGATGTTACAGTTTCTGCTTTGCTTGCTGGAATACTCACTCTTGTAGGCTTCAGCCACCCTATAGCAGCCCAGCTGTCCTGAGGCCACCATGCTGGGAAGAAGCCCAAGCTAGCCCAGATAGAAAGACCACATGTTCCAGTCTCCTCTGTGAGCCTTTGACCCTGAGCCCGAAGTGCCCAGCTGAGCCCTTCCAAATTCATGACCCTTGTAAACCATGAGACATAGATGATTGCAGCTGTTTTACGCCATACATTTTGGCGTACAGCTGTGTACGCCATACACCCCATGCATTTTGGGGTGACTTGCTTTTAACAATAGTAATCAGAACATGTAGGCAATATTATTATCCCCATTAACACACTGAGGCTCAACACAGTGAAGTTTTTTGCCTGCTCCAACCCCTAGCAAGTGTGAGAACTGAGATTTCAACCTGGGTTCGTTTGAGTGCTGAGCTCATGCACCTGTACACATGTTTGCACCCACCCCCCCAACGCCTGCACCCACAATCACGCACACATTTGCATGTTGTCTGTGAGCCCAGGTAATTCACAGGTGCTGCACACACGAATGGGACCACATGCATCTACATATAGTGACAAGCATGGGCCCAGGGGCTGGGCTACCTGAGTTCAGATCCAGACTCTGCCAAGTTTCAGCTTGGGCAAGGACCTTTGGCAGTCGGTGCCTCAGTTTCCTCATTTCTAAGATGGGGCAAATGATAGTGTCCACCTTTTAGGGGTGATGTGGGGATTAAATGACTTTCTATATGCAAAACACTTAGATGGAAGCCTGGCACATTGCAAGCAGTCAATAAACATCATCCTTCAGCAGTGTTAGACACTCATCTGCCAGCCCACAGGGACACACACTGCACAATTGCCTCTCTGCACACTGGCACCCAGACTCTCACACCCAAAGCTGTGCATGTCTCTAAGACAGAGGGTAGAGGGCTGGGAGAAGCAACTCTGCCAACTGGGGCAATGCCCTCACCCCTGCATCCTCCTCTTAAGTAATGGCCCTTTGCTTACTTCGACTCCACTGTGCTCTGGGTCAGAGGTTCCCATGGGTGGGGTGCAGATTGGGGCTATTGATCCCAGAGTGGCAGGGGGCCGAGTCTCTAGACCTAGAGCCCCCTCCTCCTTAAACCCTCAAGGTCAGGGTCACTTAAGAGGCTTATCTTGGAGCATTAATCTGAGGGTGAGTGGGGGTGGGGACTCTTAGGGAATGACTAAGTGAAACCTCAGAGAAGCCCTCTCCAGCCAGCCCTTCTAAAAATAAATATCACCCACCCCCACCCCACTTGCTTTATTTTGCTTCTGACCACTTATCTGCACTAGCCACATAATACGATTTAAAAATCTGTTTATTGTTTGCTCTCCCTCACCTCCCCCACTACATCACTACCTAGAACAGAGATTTTTGTCTATTCTGTTCGCAGCTGTGTTTCTAGCACCTAGAATCTGGCACCCAATGGGTGCATTAGAAATATTCTTTGGATGAGGGGATGATTCACAAGCAGAGGTGGGAAGGGGGCCTCCGTGTGCCCTGGGTCCTCCCCAAGCCCGCAGATGCAGTCGAAGTCATGGACTAGTGGGACTAGTACTGGGAGAGCTAAGGGTCTTGGGAAGCCATGCCCACCCCTGTCCTTCCCAGCCTCACCCTGGTCCCCTTACCCTGGTAGCGCTGCCTGGGGTCACGAGCCAGCTGCACTGCGAGCTCCAGGCCAATTCCCGAGGAGCATCCTGAGATCAGTACAGTCCGGGGTGCGTCGGCCATGTTGATCCCTTTCTGGACGCGTGACCTCTGCTGGCCAGCACCTGACTCCCGCCACCCATCCTCTGCTCATCTGCCCCCTCCTAAGCACACCCCACCTGCAGGATGAACGGGCCCTGGGAGCCCTCAATTATGAACTGACTTTGGGCAGGCAGCTGGGGGGAATCCCTTCACTTCAATATAGTGCCTTCCTTTCATCTGTCAAAAATGTCCTCTCTGCTGCTACACTCAAAAGTGGGGGCTTTTGTTATGATGATAAATTATCCAGGGCTGGGGGGAGTTTCAGGCAGTGTGGGGAATAAGTGGAGGTGTTCTCTTGCTGTCTGTACTCTGGGCAAAGGATCTGTGATTGGAGAGAGGTGACCGAGAGTATGGTCCCAGAAGGGTCCGTTCAAAGAGAATGGGCAGAAATGTCAGAAGGTGCGATTAGACTATAGGAAGAACTTCCCAACAGACCAAGGCAGGGCAGGAACTTCATGAGTGTTGTAGCTAGAAAAGTCTTAGTCTCTGATGTCCCTGGAGAGAAAGCAGGAGCAGCTTGGGGAGATTCCCTCTCCTCTCCCTCCTCAGGGCCCCCCTCCCCCTCAGGCCAGATGGGGCCCCACCCCCTCCTCCCTAAGGACACAGAGTCTCTTTGTCTGAGGAGCCAGAGGCTGGGAGGGAGACACTGCCGGCTTCTCCCTCTTGGCCTCGGGGCGGGGCAAGTGGGCAGTTCAGGGCCCGGGATATGCCCCTTGGGTTCCTCCCTGCGGAAGCTCCTTCAGATCCAGCATGTCTGTGCTTGTTCAATTGCACAGACAGCTCCACCTGACCCGACCCGCTGGGGCCTCCTCACATGGGGGTGGGGGCGACCCAGTGGGGTGAGGGGGGGTTCCGCCTCACCCCAGGAATGGCAGGGGTCCACCCCTCCCTGTGGCAGTGCCCTGCTTAGGGTAGGGCCATTCTCCCTGATTTAATGGGCCATGTGTGAGAATGGAGCTGGGGCATCCACTGGGGCCTGAGAAGAGGATTAGGGATGGAGGTGGGGGCCTTTATTTGAGGATTAAGAGTTTGGGGGAAAGAAAGAACTGTGAGAACTGTGTTTTGGAATCTGTGGTGAGGGTTTGGGGGTGGGGCTAGGGACCCCATTTTGGAATCTGGGGTGGAGTTTGAGGTGGGGTGAAGATCCCTTATTTAGGGACCTGCAGAGAAAGTATGGAGTGAGGTCGGTACCTCTTACTGTGGGACCAGGCAGGTGGGTGAGAATTTGGCATCAGAGGGCCTGGCTGAGACAGAAAGGATCTGGTATAAAGCTGTACCCCCTAATTCCAGGGCCTGGATGGAGGCTGAAGGTTAGGAGGCCTGTTAGGAGAAAAGGGTTTGGGCTAAGGCTGGGACCCCGGATCCTAAGGGTGGGTGGGAGTGACCCTCCTCCGAGCCTGTGGGGTGAGGCAAGAAGGGCCCAGCTCCCGGCCCACGGCTCCACCCCTAGCTGGGCAATCAGAGCTCAGCACAAACTTTCCCAATTCCACCCACCAGCTGTCAGCTACCCGCCCCCACTTCTGCGAGCTCCGCCTGGCCCGGAGCTGGAGCGCAGGGCGAGGCCAGGGCGGGGTCTCGGGCAGTCTCCTGTGGATCCCGAGTGGAGCCGGCCGTCGCGAGAGTGCCCCGAGCCCGTGGAGTCGCCGCGCCCCGCAGCCGCCCAGGCTGGTCCCCCGCCTTGAGTGTGGGTCCCGTGGGAATGGGGAGTCGCCGGGGCCTGGGCCAGCCGCGGGCCGGCCTCTGCCTGCTCCTGGTGTCTCTGCAGCTTCTCCCCCGGACGCAGGCCGGTGAGCCGGGAGGGAGAAAATAGGACCCGGAGTGCAGGATCCATCGAGGCCCCCAAAGACGGCGTGGAGTCGGGAGTCGGGGCGTGCATGGGGGTCGTGCACGTTGCGCGTGGCTACGGTGTGGTGTTGGGGGGCGAGTGCCTGACTCTGGGCGGTTGGTGAGTGTGACAGTTTGGTGGGGGGGCGGTCGGGGAAACGTGTGACCCTGTTTCCTGGTGGGTGCGTGGCAATGAATGCAATTTATAGGTATACATGTGTGTAACAATATGCATGCGGCCATTTGGAGTGAAACTGTGTGCTGGGTGTGGGAGATGACGATGATTGTACACCTGGGTGATGGGATATGGCCCCTGGGCGAGTATGTGATTGAGTTGTGGGTAGGGGAGTGTGTGTCTGTGTGGGGGGCTGATTTTGAGAATAACCGTGTGTGTGTTATGCGTGTGATTGTGTGTCTCTGGGTGACCCTCTGAGGACTGTGGTTGTGGTTTGGGAGGCTAAATACTTGCCCATGAGGATGATTCTCAGGGGGATGGGGGATGGTGAGCGGGGACTATTAGGGAAGAGGGTTGATCTGGGATTCAGAGCTCCCTTTGCGTCTCCCCAGATAGCTTCACCTTATTCCCCCTCTTTCTCCTCTGCCCCTAATTAGCGCGCGCCCACCTCCTTTCCCCCCCATCTTTGCCCCCTTCCCCCCTCCCCGCACTCCCCTGAACCGGGATCAGCACCATGGACAGGGCCTCGGGAGGGCCTTGGTGGGGGGCGAGGCGGGGCGGGGCGCGGGGCGGGGCGGGGCGCGGGGCAGAGCACGGGCGGGGGCGGGGGGAGTGGAGGTTGCTCCCCCAAGCTGAGCGAGCCTCGGGTGTTTTTTCTGAGGAATTTCTCAGGGGCCCCCCCAGGGGTCCCGGGGGCCGCCGGACGGGTGAGTCAGCGCTGACGCACGCCCAGCTGCGCGAATCTGGCTGGACGCCGCGCCCCGCCCCCCAGGGTTCTGGGTCGGGGGCGCCCCGGGGTTCGGGAAGGTCGTGGTCCCTCAAGTGGTGATTGAGGGGGGCTTCCCTGGTCTGAGATACCCCAGGTCAGGCCCTCCCCGTAATCCCTCCCTAAGGTGAACTCAGGACCCCAACACACCCACCCCCACTTTCTCACTTTCTCCTTTTCTCTGCAGTCCAGAGAGGTGTGTGTTTACACGGATAACCCCAAAGTGGCCTATGCCCCACTCCCACGGTCACACATCCACACAGTCGTGCGATCTCAGGCGTGCACTCAGAATAGAAGGCCCCTGGGACACGAAGAACGTTAAACACCTGGGGCCCACGCCAAGGCAACCCCATCAGCCACCCGCCACACGGTCACAGCTTTTGTCACCCATCTACACTTTCAAACTCTCACACATGCTTCCACTGGCATCCATACAACGTAGTCGATGTTCTCAACCAGTCACCCACTCGCTGACTTGGCCACACTCTCGCATAGAGCCACACTCCTCCATCTCGAGTCTGAGCTATTACTATCACAGACTCCCGTGCATCACCTGCAGGACCTCGAGCTCACTGCCAGGACCCCACGACAAGTCAAAGAACTGCACCTAATCCCTCCATCATAGGCCAAACACTCACAGACATCGACATGCTGCAAAGCACACGCTCAGCTAGTCCCTGGTCCATACAGAGTCACACATGTGCTTGCACAGCCTCATGCATGTACACAATCACGCACGTACCTATTTGCACAGACACTCACACCTAGGCTCTCCTACTCATCTGAGAGGGTCCCAGCCATGTCCCAGCCCGGTCCCTGCCTGCCTTCTTCCACATCCTAGACCCCACCTAGCCTCTCCCTGGGGTCCTGACCAGCACAGGGGAGAATCTGTGGGGGAAGGGCAAGCCAGTTACTTGACAGACTGCCGCCCCCTGGCCCTGCAGGCAGGACTCAATGCCTCTTGTGTGTCTCCTTGTCACAAAGCCAGCCACGGAAAGAAAGGGCAGTTGGTTTCTGAAAGGTCATTACAGAAGGAACACAGATTGAAGCAGGAGACATTTGGGTTAGATGCTGGGAAAGACTTTTAAAATGTTAACGAGCAGTTGGTCAAGGAGAGACCCCTTCCCAGTGCATAGAAAGTGGAGTCTGGGTGAAAGGAGAGCCTGGGAGAGCCACACTGGGTGGAATCACGGACCTCAGCCCTCCCCTGGGCCCCCGCCCGGAGAGGGGGCAGCTGGGATGATCATTCCACGGGAGAGTGACCCTTGTGGTCAGCAGAGCCTGGGAGCCCAGATTTTAGCCCCAGGGGGCTGTAACCCAAATACCTCTTAATAACAACCCAGCCACAGAACAGGCAATTAGAGATGGGGCCGGTGGAGGCAGCAGGGTTAGGAGGGTGGGTGCCGAGGGAGAGAGAGAGAGAGAGATGGAGGGAGTAATCCACACACAGAGATATATAGAGGCACAGAGATAGAGGTATGCAGAGAGAAACAGATGTGAGACCGAGGGAAATACAAATAGGCAGAGACAGAGAGCTAGAGAGTGAGGGAGAGCTGGGAAGTAAGAGAGGGAGGGAGAGAGAAAGACTGGTTCAGAGTTGGACACAGAAAGTGGGACAGAGAGAAGGCAGGGAGGGGGAGAGAAGAAAAAGAGAAAAGAACGAGGTTGGGGGCAAGAGAGAGCTGAGGTTGGAACAGGGCTCTGGAGAGTCTGGAGACTGAGGGGTCTGACCCAGGAGGAGCTGGGATGGGGGCGCCCTCATCCAAACCCCTGTCTCCCCCAAGTCTGACCCCCTACCCAGGATCCCAATGGTGAGGTCAGTAGAGCCGCCCCTGGGGTGAGGTCATGGCAGAATCTGGCTCCTGCCAAGAGGCTGGGTCAGGGTGTCAGTGGGACAGTCTGCTGTGGGGAGGGGAGATCAGGCAGGAGTTTGGGGCTCAGGGGAAGACCCCGCCCACCCTTGCCCAAGCCATGTGGTCCCACTTAGCACTGGCCAGGCTGCACCGGGTGGGGCTGGTAGGACGGCCTGGGTTAGGATCTCACTGGACCAGTCCCTTCCTTTGCTGGGATGAGAGGGAGAGGGTCAGAGGGAGATCAGGAGGTTATCAGAGAGAGGTGATCAGAGCATAAGGTCAGAGAGGGTGATAAAATGGGGAGGTCCACAGGCCAGATGGAAGAAACTGGGATAGGAAGAGGGAAGAGGTCAGGTGGTAGTCAGAGGGAGGTGGTCACGGGTGACGGTGGTCGAGGAGGAGGTCAGAGGGAGGGGAGCCCAGGGAAGAGGTGGGGAGAACACATGCAAGGAGCCCCTCCTCTCTAAGCGGGTTTCCCCTGGCAAGGGGGGCTTCAGGCCTGGGAAGCAGCCCAGGGAGCTGGTGCGGGGGAGTGTGGAGAGGGGGACAGTTTGGCTCTGGGGCTCAGGCCAGGAAGCTTTGATTCATCCCAGAACTAGGTCAGCTTTTTTTTTCTCTCACCGAAAACCGAGGGCAAAAAACAGGAGTCAACAGGCTGATGAGGCTGGAACAGCTGTGGAGTGGTGAGGGGGGTATGCGCCCCAGGCCTGCTCCTTCCCCCTGACCCACAAACATAGCTGGAGGGGGGGCTGAGTCCCCCAAACCCAAGCCACTCACGCAGAGTGTTGGGCTTGTTGTAACTGACCCGCACCCTGGCTTCTTTCCGTAGCAGACCCTGTGGATGTGTTGAAGGCCCTGGGCGTGCGGGGGGGCCAGGCTGGGCTCCCCGAGGGTCCCGGCCTCTGCCCCCAGAGGGTCCCGCAGGGCGACCGGGCATTCGGGGTGGGCAAGGCCAGCACGCTCGGTGTCCCCACGTGGGAGCTCTTTCAAGGTGAGTCAGGGTGAGAGGGGCTGTGGTTCATCGTGGGAGCATGGGTCACAGTCGGGCCATCTGAGCTGCCCCTTTCCCTCTGCCCTCCCAGCCGAGCACTTTCCCAAGACCTTCTCCGTGCTGATCACTCTGCGTGGCCGGCCAGCCAACCAGTCTGTCCTTCTATCCGTCTACAATGAGGCCGGTGTCCGGCAGCTGGGCCTGGCGTTGGGGCCGGCTCTGGACCTCCTAGGTGACTCCTTCAGCCCCCTCCCCCAGCAGGTCAGCCTCACGGACGGCAGGTGAATATGGGGAAGGTGGGAGTCCCAGGAGAGGTGAGATGAGAGCACGCCCCCACTGAGACTGTCCCCTTGCAGGTGGCACCGTGTGGCGGTCAGTGTGGATGGTGGGATGGTGACACTGGTGGCTGACTGTGAACCTCAGCCCCCCGTATTGAGCCAGGGACCTCGATCCATCAGCACAGCTGGACTTACTGTACTGGGGACCCAGGACCTCGGGGAGGAGACTTTTGAGGTACCGCTTCAGTGATGGGGGAAACTGAGGCAGAGTGCAGGAGGGAGATTTGTCCACAGCCTGAATCTGGAGAAGAGAACGGAGAAGGGAACTATCCGGCTTCAGCTTAGCGCCAGGAAGCTGAGGAAGGGAGCGCCAGGCATCATGGCGCATCTTTGTGGCATGTGCCTGTGAGACTGTAAAGCCATGAATGGATCATTTGTGATGGTGCATACTTGGCTTATGGTGGGAGGATAAGGTTGTGATGTGTGACGCCGCTGCTGGTTGTGATGGCGTGTGATGCCAGCAAGGCATGGAGTCGTGTGGCTCTGTGACAGATGTGTTTTCGATGTGGTGATTGTTATGTGTGTCATGACAGTCCAGGGACCTCATCGTCTTGTTTCCCTCCTTATCCCCAGTACCTTGGAGGGCACCTGGCACACAGTAGGTGTCACCATGTGCCGCGAGTGAAGGAACAAATGTGCCTCTGATGGGACAGAGGTTGTGGGGTGTGGCTTGTGGTTGTGGTTTGGTGTCACCCTGATAGAATCTTCCTCCTCTCAGTTTTTTGGGGCAGAGGGATTTCTGGGGCTATGGTGTGGCTACCACCTCCCTATACTTAGCCTGCTTTGGGTGGAAAAACACCAGACCTTGATGCTTGGAATGAGGCTCGGAGTCAGCCAGCAGACCCCTTCCCGGACCCCCACTCTCTCCCCAGGGAGATATTCAGGAGCTGCTGATAAGCTCAGATCCTCAGGCTGCCTTCCGAGCCTGTGAGCAGTACCTTCCTGGCTGCGATGACCTGGATCCTGTAGCCACAGGGGTGAGTAAGGGGCTTGTCCTGAGGTCGCTGGCTGAGTCATCCCTGGCTCCAGGTCTCAGGAATGAATGAATTCTGAGCCCTATCCACGGGGCTGAGTGACCCCTGCCCTTAAACTGTTCTTAGGCATGAATGACCTTGACTTCAGGTCACATAACTGACCCTCGGCCCCTCATCATATGATTTACTTTGACCCCAGGTCCCAGGGCTGAGTGAGCCCTGGCTTTAAAAGATAGGACCAATGGACCATGTGCCAGCATGACCCCAGGTGATCTGAGTGATGGGGCCTCCACTCAGGGAATCTGGACCCGACTGGAGTCCTCTTCCCAGGTGCCCCAGGGGGAGCCGGAAACCCCTCCCCGTCGGCGGAAGGGGAAGGGAAAAGGGAAGAAAAAAGGGCGAGGTCGTAAGGGGAAGGGCAGGAAGAGGAAGAACAAGGAAGTTTTGGCCCTGAGCCCACCTCCTGTCTCCCTGGAGAACCAGGTAAGGGGTCTGCGATATCTCCCCTCTGTCCTTTGAGCGCCCTGCTTCTGGCCTCTGATCCCCACTGATCCCTTGTGCCTCATCCAAGGTCTCTGCCTCTTGTCTCCAATAACTGACCTGTGACTTCTCTCAGCTGACCGATCACTTGTCGGGGGGTCTGGTCCTGTCTTAGGTGCTCTTTCATATCTCCCTCCCAACTTCCAGTTCTGCGGGGGGACTAGAGAGAGGGGGCACACCCAGTCGAGTACCTTATGATTAGGGGGCTCTTGATGAGGGCTACTGTTTAAGGGGAGCCACTAGCTGGGGTGAATGATGGGTGCGTTAGTTAGTGTGTCATTGTTTGGGGTTGACTGGTTGGGGTCATAGGTGAGGGTTATTCATTGTGGGTCGCTAACTGGGGGGACACTATTTGGCCTCCCTGATGGAGATTGCTGGTTGGGGGGATCATTGTAGAGAGATACTGACTGAGGTTGATGTTTGGGGGTTTCCTAGTTGGAGGTCACTGTTAGAGGTCATTGATGGAGGCCGCTGTTGGTGTTATTGGTGTCTGTAGTTTAGGGTTAATGGTGTGGGGCTCATTGCCAAGGTTCACTAGTTGGGCAAGTCCCCAGTGGGGGACCACGGATTAGAAGGCACTAGTGGAATCACCAGTTGGGGTCACTAGCTGGGGGAGTGCCTTTCAGGGGATCACGGATGAGATAGTTAGTTTGGGAGTCCCTGATGGGTAATTAGTTGGGAAGTCATTGATGGGTCACTGGTTATAGGAATAACTGGTGGGAGGCCAATGATTCGGGTTATTAGTAGGTGTGTATGGGTCATTGGTTAGGTCCCTTAGTGGGGATCACTTGTCATGGGTCATTAATTGGGGGTCATTAATGGGTCACTGGCTGTAGGAATAATTGGGGGTCACTGGGTAGGTGTCCCTGGTGTGGGCCACTGGTCGGGGTCCTTGGTTGGAGGGTCACTGGTTGCATTACATCTGCTCGCCGCATCAGTGGAGAGAAAGAGGGTTGTCACTTCAGCCTAGAACAGAGACACCAGGAGTAGCCTACCCTTTCTCAGCCCCTTCCTTAGCCTTCACCTGGGCCCCCATCGCCTGCTGTGCGCCCTTAACCCAGTTCCTCTGCAGCTGTCCAGGCCAGGAGGACCTCCCACTCCTTCTCTGACTGCGGCCTGGCTGGCTGACAGACTGCTGAGATCTGCCTTGAGAGAGGACATACGGGATAGGCTTCCGGGAGTCTGGCCCTGAGTGGTGGACATTGACCCTGACCCCTGGGCTTTGGAGCCAGCCCCGCTCTGCCTTCCAGGCCTTCCAGACCTGCCAGCCCTGCCCCTCCTCCACACACAAGGGCTCTCCCTGCTGGCTGTCCTTGTCCAGCCAGCACACCTTCACCTGCACTGGCCAGCCCCCTGCCCCGTACCCCTCTGATGTTTTTTGTTGGCAATCCTCCTCTATCCCCCTCCCTAGACTGGGTGCTCTGGGAGAGAGAGTCTGTCTCCTCCCTCGTCTCCCTTTTGTCTTGATTGTCCTGACCCCAGACCCGGTACCTTCTCTGTCCTTCCTCCAGACCTCCACTGACGTCCCCAAGACAGAGACACCAGCTCCAACTCTGCCTCCGACTCCCACGCCTTTGGTCATCACCACGACTGTGGCCATTGGCAGCAACGTCACCGTCCTAGAGGTTGTGGGAACTGGACGAGGCTGGAAGGGAAGGTCCTGGGACAGTGGTGGTGGCAGACAATGAAGAGGCCCGGGGTAAACTTTGGTCTGTCCCAATGTCCTCAGGAGAGCTTGGACCCTGACGGTGGAACTGAACTGGGGACCGTGGAGACTGAGTTAGCCAGACAAGAAGAAGAAAGTGGTCCCACCATGGGCCCCCACTTCCGGGCAGCAGAACAGTCATGGAGGACTGAGCTCCAGATCTTTCCTGTGCGTCTGGGTGGCTGGGTTAGGTGCAGGGGGAGGGACTCCTACCTGGAGCCACACATAGCTGCATTCTCTTTTTTGCTTTCTTTTTATCTTGCCTAGAATGCCTTCCCACCACCCCAGTGCAGTTGACAAATATTTATCTACAGATACTATGCTAATGTGACAGGCATTGTGCTAATGAGTGGCTCTGTGGGTAGGGTGATTCATTTGGTTTTTAGCCTAAGCATGATGAGAAGCCACTTGAGATGGAATACCATCTGACTTGGGAGTTTTCAAAGCTCTCTCTAGCTGCTGAACAGCATATGGACTGTAGGGGGAGCCAGAGGGGCAGCAAGGAGACCAGTAGTCTATGCAAAACAGAGTGGTGACCTGGATGAGGGTGGTGGCTGTAGTGGTGGTGGTGGGGATAGAGAAAAGTTGGACAGATTGGGGACATGCCCCGTTTTGCTCTCGCTGCTGTATGTGGAGAACAATTCAAAAATAACTGGGTAGATGCACGGTGGCACCACTGAGTAGGATGGGGAAGCCTGACGGAGGAGCAGGTGGAAAGTGTCAAGGGTCTCCTTTTGGATGTGCTAAACTGGCAACGCTTGTTTGATTGTCAATGCGAGTGATTGGTTAGAAAATTCTGGAGTTCAAGGAAGATGGTCTAGCCTGGAGATCAAGACTTGGAACTCATCAGCGGAGAGATGCTATCTTCAGTCAAGGGATGAGATTGCCTAGGAAAATAAGGCAGACAGAGAAGTTGTCTAGGTTCTAGCTTTGGTGTTGGACAGGGGCGAAGGTGAATAATCCTAACCATCTTACTCTGAGTGCCTGTTATGTGCTAAGCCTTGTTTTAGCTTCTTTATCTTCCCGTGGGATATATACAGTCGGCATTCACCCACACACTTTGCAGGTGAGGCCATAGGAGGTGAATACGTTGCCCAACATCACTCAGCTACTGAGAGGCAGCTCCAGGATTAGGGCTTCACAGTACGCCCCAGGGTTCGTGTTCTTGATGCAGCATGGCCAGCTTGAAACTGGAGGATGAGCTGCTCAAAACATACTGGTTGAAGAAAGGACAGCAGAGACACCTCAGAGGGTGGACTCTGTGCACGCATGCGTGTGTGTGTGTGTGTGTGTGTGTGGTGTGTGTGATGAGTGGGAGGTAAGTTAGCTGAGAGTTCTGAGTTCCAGGGCTCACACCTCTTCTCTTTCCATCCCCTGCCCCAGGGCGCTGGGGAGAAGGGAGAGAAAGGAGAACCGGCCGTGATTGAACAGGTGAGGGGCCTGGGGCTGGAGGACTTGGCCGGGGTCTGTGCTAGAATGGGGATCACACTTATTTCTCCCCCAGGGACAGCAGTTTGAAGGACTTCCAGGAGGCCCAGGACCCCAAGTGAGTCATGGCTGCATTCCCCTCTTCTTGTCTTTTAACTTCCAGTTGGGCTATTTGATCCTCTGGGGTGGGGAGTTGGGGTGTAACGTTGCCAGATCGTTTGAAGACGATTGGATATTTGAGGCTCAAAAGATGAGTAAAAACAGGGGTTGAGGTGTAAAGTTGGGGGTTTATATGTGTCAGTATAGTATTGAGGGGCCAGGGGTGGCTCGGTGATGGGGTAGGAAGGTCAGCATGGGGTCAGTGTCAGTGGTGGTTTGGAAGTCAGCCTGGCTCAGACTTTGCATTTGTCATGACCTCTGTTCCTCTGTCCCCAACAGGGGGTGGTTGGCCCCTCAGGTCCTCCTGGCCCGCCAGGATTCCCTGGGGACCCTGGTCTACCGGTAAGAGACTTCCTCTGTGGTGTAAACTCCTGGGAGAGTGAGGTTTCAAGTTGGCAGCATGGCTGCGACTGGAGCTGGCTCTGACCCCTCTGCTTCATCCTCCTCCCCGTCTGAGAATTATCATTCTGTCTCCTCTTCTGTCTCTGGGAGGGGGGGCTATCCCCTGCCTTTCTCCTTCTGTCTCTATCCCTGAGTGTCTTTCATCTCTGTCTTTCTCCATATGTCTCTGTGCCCGTTTCCTCGTCTCTCTTTTGTCTGTCTGTCTGTCTCTTTCTGTTTTTGTCTCTTCCACTTTTTATGACTCTTTCTCCTTCCCTCCGTTTCTCTTTCTCTCACCTTCTGTCTCTTCTCTCTCTCTCTCTCCCTGCCTCCATCTTTCTCTGTCTCTCCCTCCTGGCCTCTCTCCATCTCTCTACCTCCATCCCTCTCTGTCTCTGTCCCTCTCTCAGGGCCCCGCTGGCCTCCCAGGAATCCCTGGCATTGATGGGATCCGGGGTCTGCCAGGCACTGTGATCATGATACCGGTAAGAGGGAGATAGGGTGGCACAGCCTTGGGGAGTAGAATCCTGACCAAGGAGGGGGGCCTCTCCTGGAGGCTCCCCTCACTACAAGTCGCCCCCTAGTTCCAGTTTGCAAGAGGCTCCCTCAAAGGACCCCCAGTCTCCTTCCAGCAGGCCCAGGCTCAGGCAGTCCTGCAACAGGCTCAGGTGAGTGGAGGATAATTGGGATACTGTCAGGGGGTGATGGGAGGACATTGAGAGAATGACAGAGATGGGAGATGGTGAATAGTCAGGAGACAGGTGGATATTTAACTTCTGATGATGGCTTTGTTCCCCTGTCTCTTCAGCTCTCTATGAAAGGCCCCCCTGGCCTGGTGGGGCTCACTGGGCGCCCAGGCCCCGTGGTGAGTAAGGAGGCTGTGTGCAGTGGGGAGTACATCAGTGGAGATGACTCTAACTCAAACTCCCTCTAAATGCATTACCCTATCTTTCTTCCTCCAAGGGTCTCCCTGGGTATCCAGGTCTGAAAGGAGAGATGGGAGAAATGGGGCCACAGGTGAGATTGGTGGGGGTGGGGACAGGGTTGATGGGAAGGGTCTTCTCACAGGGCTACAGGATAAAGTGCTAGCTGGGGCAAATGGCAAAGCGGCTGGGGTTACCCTTGCAATTACTGACATTTTTCTTCCTCCTTTCCTTTCTCTTCTAGGGCCCCCGAGGACTTCAGGGACCTCATGGACCCCCTGGCAGACAGGGAAAGATGGTGAGTGACTCCTAGGTCCTCAGGTCATCCTTTATTCATCTCCCAACACCCAACAGGAGCCTCAGCTCTGTGCTCCCAGGGTCTGCTGGTGTCATTGGTGGGATAAGAGCACTGAGGACAGGGAATGACAGTACACTGAGGGTGTGACAAAGGAATCTGGCCAAGTCCCTGAGTCTGGGAGGACTTGCAGAGGAATGATGTTTGAACTGAGATCTGAGATATAACCGGGGAAAAAGGAGAGGAAGGGCATTCCAAGCAGAAAGAACAGCACATGCAAAAGAAAAGACTGGCACATTGGGGGAAATGATGAACAAGATAATTCCAGATAGTTTTTTTTTTTAATTTATTTTTTGGCTGTGCTGTGTCTTTGTTGCTATGTGCAGGCTTTTCTCTAGTTGCGGTGAGCAGGGGCTACTCTTTGTTGCGGTGTGCAGCCTTCTCATTGTAGTGGCTTCTCTTGTTGTGGAGCACAGGTTCTAGGTGTGTGGGCTTCAGTAGTTGCAGCACACAGGCTCAGTAGTTGTGGCGCAAGGGCTTAGTTGCTCCGCGGCAGGTGGGATCTTCCCAGACCAGGCACCGAAACCGTGTCCCCTGCATTGGCAGGTGGATTCTTCACCACTGTGCCACCAGGGAAGCCCCTCCAGATGGTTTTAAAGTGCCATGAGGAACATACAGCAGGGAAATTAATGGAGACTGAACATGAGTGTTCTTAATTTTTGTGATGATGATAACTTGAACTAGAGAAAGGCACTAGGGCTAAAGAATAATGGATGGGTTTGAGATATATTTAAGAGGTTAAATTGGTACATACAGAAGCCCCCAGCATAAGACACTGCATGAGGAAGGTGCTCGATACATGGTAGTAGATATCTTGATGATGTCACCTCCCCCATAGGGCCGCCCTGGAGCAGATGGGGCTCGAGGCCTCCCAGGGGACACAGGACCTAAGGTAGGTGATGGGGCCAGGCCTGGGACTTGGAAGGACTGTCAGGATAGAGGATTCAAAGCTCAGCTGGCGTCTCTTTCTTTCTTTTTTCTTCCAATTTATTTTAATTAATTTATTTTAAAACATTTATTATTTATTTATTTATTTTGGCCGTGCCAGGTCTTAGTTGCGGCATGCGAACTCTTAGTTGCAGCATGCATGTGGGATCTAGTTCCCCGACCAGGGATCGAACCCGGGCCCCCCTGCATTGGGAGCACGGAGTCTTTCCCACTGGACCACCAGGGACGTCCCTCAGCTGATGTTTCTTTGTGCAGGGTGATCAGGGCTTTGATGGCTTGCCAGGGCTGCCTGGAGAGAAGGGCCAGAGGGTGAGTGTGTGAGACCCCTCCACCATATCCAAGCCCCCTCCCAGCGTTCATGACACCCTCCCCACCCCTAATATCAGAGCCTCCGTTCCTGGGTCTGAGTCCTCACCCCTAATACCCCATCTCCTTTCCTGGGGGCTGGTCTCCACTTGTTGACTCTGAACTGCCCTCTGTGTTTCCCACTCCAGGGTGACTTTGGTCATGTGGGGCAACCTGGGCCCCCAGGAGAGGATGGTGAGAAGGTAAGTTTGGAAGAGAGTTAGGGGCTGGTTTGGAAGCTAGAAAGCCAGAACAGGAGGAGTAGAGCATTCAGGAACCTGGGGGAGGGGTGAAGGTCTGCGCTGGAGAGTCAGGAGACGTCAGGGGGGCTCAAAGAGACAGGCTGAGAGTTGTGGGGTTAGGACTAGAGTTAAGAGGTTAAACCCAGGATTGCAGGTCCAGGATTGGGGTCAGGGGCCTGAATCAAATCACATATACGCAGTTGGCTGGATCCTGCCACACACTCTGACTCTGAGATCCCCTGGCAGGGGCTGCCGATATGAGAGAAGGTGATTCTCTGAGGGTTATACCTCCCCCCTCCCCAAGTCATATGCTTTCCCACAGGGCGCAGAGGGACCTCCGGGGCCCACCGGCCAGGCTGGGGAGCCGGTGAGTATCAGGGACCCCTGGGCCCCTTGCCTGGCACAGGGGAGGGAGCCAGGACTCATAGGACCTCAGAGCAGTGATGCTGGAATAACGTTCCTACCTCCTTGCAGGGCCCCCGAGGACTGATTGGCCCTAGAGGCTCCCCTGGCCCCCTGGGACGCCCGGTGAGAATGTCGCTGTCTCTCTACATCCTGTTTGTCTTTTTCTCACCTTTATCTCCTCTGCATGTCCATTTCTGTTGCCTGGATTCTCTGCCCACTCACCTTTTCACCTGTGCCTCTCAGGGTCTCAGACGCAGGCTCCTGCGCATGGGTCTGCCCTGGTCTCACACCCTCTTCTCCCCCAGGGTGTAGCTGGAAGTGCCGGTGCTCCAGGTGCCAAAGGAAATGTGGTATGTGTTCTGATCCCTGATGCGTTCTGACACTCTGACCCTAGGACCACCCATATCCTTGTCCACTCCCATGATCCCCCATTTCAACTTCCCTGACACCTCAACACCATAATCCCTTGCAGCTTCACAGAACCCTCACTTTCTCCCCAGGGTCCTCCAGGAGAACCAGGCCCCCCAGGACAGCAGGGAAGTCCCGGGTCCCAGGTTTGAGCTCTCTTTCCTGACAGAGGGGGCGGGTTGGCGTGGCGCTCAGCCGAGGTCACAGACCACTCCTGGTTTCCCCAGCCTCTGCACTTGCTGCCGCTTTCTCATGCTTTCTTTCTCCCCTTTTTAAAAAATGTTTCCAGGGAATCCCCGGCCCCCAGGGACCCATTGGCACTCCTGGTGAGAAGGTGAGTGACAGCTCTCCCTCCCCTCCCCCAACATCTTTCCCCTTCAATTCTGCCTGCAGGAAAATCTTCCCACCATGGCCCCTTTTGCAAGCCCCGGATAATGATAAACTGCAACATTCCCTAAATAAGCTCAGAGTTCCCAAGTGTCATTGCTGGGGAGGGGTTGACGGCCAGAAACAGAACTGCACCAAGGCTAGATCAGAAGGGGATATTGTCGGGAGAGAGGGGAACCCTCAGAAGCCAGTCATAGAAAATAGTACCAAGACTCACGGGCCAGGAAATCCATTTGTCTCGGGTCTTGCGGTATCATCTTTCTTCCTCTGCACATCTGTTTCCATCTCCCATGAAAAACAGGCTTCTTTCTATTTACATCTTAGTCTGTCCTTACCCCAACTTCTGTTTCTACACACCCTTGTGCTGCTCTGTCACTATTTCAGTCCCCAGTTCCTTATGACCTTACAGTTTCTTTATTCAAATCCATCTGGTCATAGTTTCTATGAGGCAAGATATCCCTTACCTCAAAATTTCAGGAGAGAATCTGATTGGCTTATCTGGGCCAAGTGCCCGCCTCTGGACTTGTCAGTGGTTTGCAGGACATAGGGGGTCACCTCATGCCTGCCTAGGCCCACACCTCTTCAGGTGGAGCTGTGGGTTGGAGGTGCTTCTAAAGGAAGAGGTGTGGCTGGGGAGCCCCCCACCCCAGCATGTCTCTCACACTGTTTTTACATCCCTTGTCTCAGCCCTCCCAGAAGCAGAGGATTTCAAAGGCACAGAGAGGGAAGAGAGCTTGTCCAGGGTCACACAGCAAGTTTGGAAGAGCTGAGGATAGATTTCCTGGCCAGTAGGATCTGTTTTTTCTCTAACCTTGAGGTAGCTGTATGTCTGAGTAGGGACGTTCCTGGTGGAATGCCAGGCTCTGAGACCCTCTGTCTCCCCCTACTATTCATCTTCTTTCAGGGTCCCCCTGGGAACCCAGGAATTCCAGGCCTCCCAGGATCTGATGGCCCTCTGGTGAGAACTAGATTCTGGGAGAAGGAGGAAGGAGAAGCGGGGAGGCTTGGGAATTTGGATGGCATATCAGGTCTCTGACAACTTAGAATGTTTATCTCCTAGGGTCACCCAGGTCATGAGGGCCCAACAGGAGAGAAAGGGGCCCAGGTAAGTGACCTGGAGAGGGGCAGATTTGGGGATGAGGGTTGGCAGGCAGGGCCAGGAGTCAGGGGCTATTGATGAGAAGAGAGATGAGGGCACGGGGAACATGGAGCGGGGAGAACAGGATGACACTCATCTTATGTCCATTTCAGGGTCCAGCAGGGTCGGCAGGCCCTCCGGGCTATCCTGGACCTCGGGGTGTGAAGGTAAGTGATACTTGGGGCCTGCAGATAGAGGTTTTTTTTTTTTTTTTTTTTTTTTTTTGTGTGTGG